TAGATGTGTTATGTGTAAATGAGACGAAAAGGAAGGGGAAGGATGTCACTGCACATGGCATGTATACCGCATACTGGTCTGGTGTAGACGAGATCGAGCGGGCATGCCAGGGGGTAGGTATCATCCTTTCAGAAAGAATGGGCCAATGTGTGAAAGAGTATGAATGTGTAAGCCCAAGACTGCTATGGATACGAATGAAAGTGGGCTTAAAGAAGTTGTTTGTGTTAGGGGTCTACGCCCCAGACATGTCTAAGCCCACTTATATCCGAGAGCAGTTTTGGGAAATGGTAAGGATGGTGTTAATGAAGTGTAAGGGAAATGAAAATATTAATATGCTAGGAGATTTTAATGGAAGGGTTGGGGTGAGGAGGCTTGGTTATGAAAGGATATTGGGAACGTTTGGTGATGAAAGTATAAATGAGAATGGTGAAAGTCTCCTCACCGTATGTATGGAAAAGAATCTTTTTTGTGACGAACACTTGCTTTCGCCACAAGAGGATTCACATGTATACTTGGGAAAGAGGTGAAGATAGAAGCATGATAGATTTCATAATTGTGGATGAAAGATTGAGGGGCGCAGTGGTAGATACAAGGGTTTACCGGGGTTCTAACGTAGGAACGGATCATTATTTGGTTTTATGCCGAATTAATGGTCTATTCAGGCGTTGGCGCCATCGATCATCTGTGTCTACCACTGCGTTACAGCGTATTAGAACAGAAAGGTTACAAGATGAAGGTGAGAGAAACAAGTTCAAATGTAGACTGAAAGAAAATATAAGTGGTTTGGATGAATTATGTATGAAGGAGTTAGACTTGGAGAATGTATGGCAAAACGTAAAGAAAGGTTTAGTGGACGCAGCTACCGAAGTATATGGTGTTAGTAAGAGTAAGAATGAAAGGAAAAATAATACGTTATGGTGGGATGATGAGATACGTATGGAAGTTGAAGCAAAGAAGAGAGAATGGCTAGATTTACTAGCAACAAAGGCTGGTAATTCTAGTGGTACGAATGATGATATTGAAAGAAAAAAGGCAGTCTTTAAACATCTTAATAAGAGAGTAAAAGAAGTAGTTGAAAGAAAAAACCAAGAAAGAACGGATAAGAATGATAGAAGAATATCGGATAACTTCCAGGCAAATATTCAAATGTTTTGGAAACTTGTAAGAACTGCCAGGGGACATTCAAAACAGCCTATGATGAATGTTATAAGAGACGAGAATGACTATATTCTGAAAGATGAAGTTTTTGAGTTTAAAGAGATGGAAGGAATATTTTGAAAGCGTGTTTATGAGTGAGGAGACGAACGTGTGTACTAAGTGAAGTAGAAACTCCGAAAGAAGAGGAAAGAGGTAGCTAGATAAGTGTAGATGAAATAAGGAAAGCAATGAAAAGCATGAAATCAGGTAAGGCTGCCGGATATGATAGAGTTTCACTCGAAATGCTAGGGGCTGGAGAGGAAGTCGTGGCAGGCTTGCTGCACGCCTTGTTTAATTTATGCTGGGAACTGAAGCGGGTACTGGTAGACTGGTGCAAAGCCGTGATAGTCCCAGTATATAAGGGAAAAGGTTCGCAGCAGGACTGTAAAAACTACCGTGGCATCAGCCTTCTTAGCATTGTGGGAAAACTGTATGCTAAGGTACTGATTGAAAGGGTCATGAAAGAAACTGGTGGAAAAATTTGGGATGTGCAAGCGGGATTCAGAAAGGGAATGGGATGTACAGATCAAGTCTTTTCCATGCGCATGATCGCGGAGAAGTTTTTGGCCAAAAACCAAAAGGTTTTTTGTGCGTTCATGGACTTGGAAAAGGCCTATGACAGAGTGGATAGGGATGTGCTATGGCAAACACTGAACTCATTTGGGTTGAGCGCTGGCTTGATACAGGCAATGGAGTCTCTTTATAGGGACTCTAGTGCTTGTGTTAGAATCAACGGGGTGTATTCGGACTGGTTTGACATCCATAAAGGTGTCAGAGAGGGCTGTGTGGTTTCCCCGTGGCTGTTCAACCTATTTATGGACAGTTGTATGCAAAATTTGTAAGTTGAAGAATGCGGATTAAGAATGGGTGAGTTAACCGTCAAATGCCTTTTGTACGCCGATGATCAAGTTATCCTTGCGTCGTCGGCGGCCGAGTTTCAAATGATGGTTACATTAATGAACAGATCATTAAAAGAAAGGGGTATGAAAGTGAACGCAAGTAAGACGAAGGTTATGGTTTTTGAAAGAGAAGAAAGTAAAACGATTTGTGAAATAAGAATAGAAGGGGAGTTGATCGAGCAAGTAGATGAGTTTGTATATTTGGGCTGCGTATTTAGCAGGGATGGGAGATATGATAAGGATATAGAACGACGAGTGAATGCGGGAAATAGAGTAAATGGGGCCCTGCACTCTATTGTGAAGAGTCAAAATGTGTCAAAAAAGGCACGTATGGCAATTCACAATGCTGTGTTGGTCCCTACTTTAACGTATGGTAGTGAAAGTTGGGTGTGGCAGAAGAAGCACGAGAGTAGAATCAACGCAGTAGAAATGCGGTCCTTAAGGAGCATGTTAAGGCTGAATCTGAACGACAGGGTAAGAAATTGTGTAATAAGAGAAGAGTGTGGTTTGCAAAATGATGTTGTGACCAGGATTAAGAAAGGAATGCTTCGGTGGTTTGGTCATGTGGAAAGAATGAATGAAGAAAGAGTGACAAAGAAAATTTATGTTGCAGAAGTGAATGGCAGAGTCGGAAATGGACGTCCTAGGCGAAAATTTATCGACCAAATTGGCGATTTATAGAAAACGGGCCAAATTAGGAGTACCCTTAACCGACGAGCATGTATGCGTAGGTGTATGGATGTGAAGGAGGCGAGAGAGGTGTGTCAGGATCGTGCCAAATTGAAGTCTGTAGTCTCTGCCTACCCCTCTGGGTGACAGGCGTGAGTGTTTATGTTATGTTATATGTTTAATACATTTAGTTTATATGTAGATTATTAACGTTAAACCAATGCACTAATTTCGATATAGCATTATTTATTTCGTCACATTTAAATGATTGATGTTTATGTTTAAAAATCAAGGAAATATCATCAGCAAATAATACTATATCATGATTATCCCCTACAAGAGAAGGTGTCAGTAATATACACTAAAATAGGAATGATGAAAAACATTTATCCCTGAGAAGAAAAGAGGGCGATGTATTATTCTTGTTAGATAATGCACCAACGCACCTGTCCTCTGAAACACTAAGTCGAGAAAATGGGAAGTTAAAAGTTAAGTTTTTGCCCCCTAACGTAACATCGATATTGCAACCTCTGGACCGAAGTGTCATTGAAACTTTAAAGCGTTTATAGGGAAATCAGCTACTGCGTCGTCTTTTGTCAGCAGACAACAGTGAAATAGAAACGATGTTAAAGTTTTTAAGGAAATTAATCTAATAGATTATTGTTTTATGCCTGTAGCAGCGTGAATTCTGTAGAATCGCTAACATTAAAAATGGAATGGAATAAATTATTGAAATTAAATCCATAATTTTCTTCAATTATACAACACGACGATTTTAAAGAAATAACAGAAGTAATGAAAATTCTTAGTGTCTGTGAAGGGTATGATGAAGAAAATATCAAGAAGTGGCTGAACTGTAATAGTGGAGACCCTGGATTCCAAATATTAACCGATGAAGAAATCATTGACGATTTGAAAAGTAACGAGAGAGAAAATGAAGAAGATACTTAAACTGGGGATGTATGTCAAGTACCATCTCACGCCGAAGCTTTTGAAGCTCTAGATGTTGATTTTAATTGGTTTGAAAGACAGGACGAATCGGATCCCATACAGTTGTTACAACTAAAGCGCATCAGGGACTTGGCTGCAATGAAAATATGTGATTCACTACGTCAAAGATCAATAACAAGTAACTTCCAATCAAAAACTTACATATGATGTACTTCATTATCGTTGTAACTCGTCATTTTTATATTCTTTTGTCTAAACGACTTATTTGAAATCCATTACATAATAAAAATTGATTAAAATTTAAATATCGTTTGATTTTACTTTGAAATCGATTAACCGGATTTTCGACTGTACGGAATACCCCTGGTTTTATTTGATCCGAATAATCGGGATTCTACTGTAATTACCTACCTAGGTACTGGCTCCAATTATAGATCAATTATTTGACTAGCGACCCAACCACAGCTTGACAGTTTTCGATTTTAATAATCGTTCAGTGTAAGTAGACCTCCCAGTACTAGTTACTGCCTACTGCAAGATCAGCATACATATACTTGAATTGGTTGAACACTTGGTCGATGAAAGAAAGATATTGAAAATACTAGCACTTCTTATTGCCATTTTTTCATTAATAATACCGTCACGTGTCACATTTTTGTAAATAGCATAAAAATGTGAAACAGATAGTAGTAGCGGAATTATATATAAGTTTCAAAGACGTTTATATCGATATAATCTTGCTTTTTCAAGATGTTGCATATTGACCTTTCTCACATTGAACACTAATGTTCTTATTATCAGAAAATTACTAGTACATTGCATGCATTACACAAAACCTCGGTGTATTGTACTACCAACTAATATCAAAGGATTCTATTTGTTTTCTCACAACACCTAACCCTACAGTAGGAGCGGCCTTAACAAACACGTGTAACGGGCTAAGTGAAAGAATCACTCGCACGCGAAAGTAAGGTGCATTTTGATTTAATACGTGCGCCGCATTTTCTTTTTCGACGATTTAATTGGTAGGCTAATTTCACGAAGGTCTTTTCCGAGGCCTGTAATGTATTATGTACATTAGTTACGTTATAACTAGGTTTAAACTCGCAAGTTAGCAATTCAGAGAGTGATCCTTATATTCTTGTACTATTATTTATTCTGTGGTACTACGTAAAAAAGCATATCTCTTGTGGCAAATCTTCCCTTTAAAGGAAGAGACTCATGTCCAGACTGCTACGAACAGACAACGATGAAGGAGTATTTAGCTGACTCACAATATTTCAGAAAATCTCTGAAGAACGCTACAACTTCAATCACACACGTATCCACCGGGGCTACTGCGTTTCATCAAGATGTTCAGACGTTGAGGAGGTTTCCCTAAGAAGAAAGTTTGTGAAGTGCGTCAAAAACATTACACAAACGCATCACGGCTTCGATGCAAAACTTTCGTCTCTCGACTACTGCAAGACAAGTAAAACACCGCCATCGCGACCAATCGATGGTCTTGACGTAGCGTTCATTTATTTCAGCGGACTCATATTACTAATGAATGTGATTGGAACTATTTACGACTTCGCACGCAACCCTGACCACAAACGTGAGTAACATGGTCATTAAGTTATTCATAAATAATAGATTGATAATTAAATTAGTAGGGTAATTGTTGACTAAAGCTTATTTAAGTTATGTATTAACTGTTTACATACTTTCTATCGTCATTCAGTGAAGAGAGAGAGAGAGAGAGAACATAAACTTAAAGAATTTTTATGAGTAAGACCACTAATGTGTTCCGTTTTCTGTGATTTTATCAAAATACATTGCGAATGGCACATTATGTCTCGTTATTTGAATTAGTAATTATTTTAAATAAATTATTTGAATTAGTAGTAAATTCACAAAATTCAGAAGAAAGATTATGTGTTTCTGTCAGGCCAACTGTAAACTAAAACGCTGGGCAGATTTTAAAGTACTAGGTTTCATCACATTTGTATTTACCTCTAGTATTGTAGTTTAATTTTTTTGTGAATTTAAAAAAATGTTTACCAATAAGAATTTCTCAACAAAACAACTATTTGTTAATAGTTAGAAAAACTATAGTAGATTATCATAACTTTTATAGCCTATCAGAATACCACTGTCGAATGCAGGCATTTCCATAGAATGCCCCTTATGACACACAAGTATAGGAAGCAGATATTCTTATTCAGTCACTACATGGGGTCAGCTCACCTCGGACAAAGCCAGTTTAGTTAGCAGTGGGTACACAGCACGACGATACTCCCATAATGAAGTAGATTTAAAAATATAAACGTTAACTCCACACTGGAACATTCTCCTGTATCGTGAAGGCATTTAGAGCAGACCCGGAACAATTATTTTATAGGCCATAAAAATACTTGTTCCGTGTGGGATTTGAACCCACACTCCCAGCGCTGCAACTCATAGCTAAGCCGCTGCGCCAAGGAGCCGTCTGCATGTCGGAATTATTTGTTATAAAGTAATGGTTGATTGCTTTTTTATAGAATAGGTGCACAAACGAGCTCACAGTCCACCTGGTGGTAAGTGCTGTGGTCCTTAAAAATATACATTTATCTTTGATTTAGAAAAAAGCAGAAGCGTTGTAACCCTTGAGGACTACAATAGAATGCCCCGTTTCAATTAAAAAGAGCCTCCGGTTCTCACCACACGAATTACAGCAATATTAAGCTGCTATTTTACGCTGGTCTTCTGTAAGAACGTGGACTTATTCCAGTTGATCTGATCCATTTGTGCTACAAAAATAATATAGCTGCTGCATGGCTCTACCACGTAAAAACTTGCTAACGGATGGTATCGTAGTTAGTTCACTTTGGATAACTCTACCCAATTTACTATCACAATTTTGTTAAAAAAGTAAGCCATAATCAGAAGACATAAAGGTAAATAACCTGCTTACATCGTTCTAAACTGTTTTGATCTAAATTTTTACTACAGAAATCCTACCTATGTCTATACTAAACATCTTTTTTTGTTACAGCTAACCGATATTTGATAACTTGGTCCTTAGTTGAGAGCTGGAAACGACTGGCAAATTCGTATGAAAGTGGAAACCCTAGGCTTACGTCTTTAAATCCTATTAATGGAATAAAGTAAGTTATCATTTGAGGTATATTCCCGTAGACTCGATGAGCATACACATGTGTACCAAACATAAACATCGTACGCTCGCTCGATCAAGATACACATGTGTACCACAAGTACTACCCTTTGAAAAATAATTTTTTTAATTAAAACAAAACCAAAGACACTATGCAATAGATAATAGTATCAAAGACAAAGATATGCTCTTTTATTTTAAACCATAACCTGGCAATGTTTCTTAGAAAAAAAAAAAGAAATCACTCTGAACTTCCGGCGTTCCACGTGTCACATTGTTGAAGGGGCTCCATCTTTTTTATAGAATTTTATATTTGTGTCTGGACTAAAAACGAAAGTATTATACTTTTTTATATTCCTTGTAATATAGTAAACACGTAGATATGTAATTTGTGGTATAAAAAGTGAAAAGTAAATTGCCAAAAGTACTTCAAATTCCGGAAAGCCCGTTTTGGCAGGTGAGTTATAAATGTGTTATTTTTCAAATTCTCATTTATTTTCAGTGTAAAATGTAAGTAAAAATAGTTTTCGTATATATTTCAAATAACATGACGTTGTATTTATTTCAAATTCACACAAACATATTTTAGAAATATTGTTCGAAATGTCATACAGATAAAATATTATTTTTTTTTTTTAATTTTTATAATATTTTAATATTTTGGTATGAGTAACGAATGGAAACACATAAAACATAAAAATATACATGTTTCCAAACATTTTCATATAAATTTCTCCAAAAACAAAAGTGTAGAATTCAAATTAGTAGTAATTTTGGCACTAAAAGTGAAGTATATACTACTACTTATGCTATAAAGGGTAATTTATGAATTTTATTATAATTTCTAACAACCAAAATAATTTTATTCAATAGTTTATACATTCAACAAGAATTCCTGTAAGTTTTATCCATAAATATTGTCTCAAAGTGAAAATATAGCAAAATTTGCAATATAGCAAAAAATTTGCTAATTTGCAAATTTTCCCGCCAAAAAGGTCGCGAGCGAACGGGAGTGTCATATTACGCGTGGCCTCGCGAGCTAACAGGTTATATTATACAGTTCGATTCTAAGTAAAGCTTCTTCTTTGCCTAGGAGTCCGTTTGATTGTGGTTCTGATTAGACACCGTCTGCCGAGCACATAGAAGAACACGGACCACCGACGGACTGGAGGGAAGTAGCCATACGCTGGCGTTTCCCTTTTGTCAAATTACAAGTCCAAACGGTCCTGTGTGGACAATGAAACTAGTTGTAGTCTCATTGCTCACTATACAATCTAGTTGCGCAGCTGAATTTTAGTTCTACAAAAAAGGCTATTGTTCAGTTTTTCGCTGCAAAAAGAGAATCTGCCACGTCAAATTTACAAAAAGATGGCGTTATCTTTCAAATATACCTAAGTAAATTTAATTTTAATTATTTTTTAATAAAGTGTGAGTGCAGTCATGACCTGACTTTTATAGCAGCCGTTCGCTTGCATGACAGCCTCGAACTGAATTTTGTAGGCCGACCATGAAGAAGTTCCGTCGAATGGACTTTGAATCCACGTAGCGAAGGTGTTGTAGCTACTACGGGTACTGTAATTCCGTCCCCAAGTTTGAGTACGTCCAGCGTTTTCTTCACTTGGTGGATTTGGGTTTCAGCTTCCGAGAGGCGGTTGTCATGTTGTGCAACCTTATCCTTCACCTCCCTTATCTCTTTTCCAAAGGTAACGTGAAGGTCTTTCATGAGGAACATCTGCTCTTCCTTATCGCGTTTGAGCTACTCTTCTAAACGATGGGCCTGGTCCTCCCGCCGGTGGGCCTGTTCCTCCTGCCGGTGGGCCTGTTCCTCCTGTCCACCCCGCAGCTGCTCTTCCAACCGACGGACCTGTTCCTCCTGTCGGCGAACTTGCTCCTGCAGTATCACCATCAGAGCACATAAGTCAGGTGCTACAGACGTAGGAGGTGCTGACGGGCCGGCCTCCTTGGTCGATGGCTGGCGCTCAGACGTCTGCGGCGTTACACCACCAAATCGTCGTTCTATCTCCTGCTGGCATTGACTTCCAGTAATAACACCCTCCGTGTCGTCCTTCGGTAAAATCGGAATGAGCTCGTAACAATTGGTGTCAGAAGTGGGATAACCCACTTCTGACACCAATTGTTACGAGCTTAAGGTTCGTGACAATAAAAACTGCCGATTGAATTACCAAAATAGACACTTTAATTGCCGAACACCAATTAAAGCTTAAAACACACTACTAATTAACCTCACCGATCACTTTACTTCACTTTATTTCACTCCGAAGCTTCGCTTGTATCGCCAATTCAATACTGCCCCGGTCGCGGCTAAAAACTGCTTTATATAGGCCTCTTCCACTAAAACATCTAGAATATTCCAGCAAGTACCGGTATCCGATCCGAAAGTTCGAGTGTGGACTTTTCCTGAAAGGATAGTTCTTCTATTCGATACTAGATGGCGCTGTAGGTGGAAAGTTCCAGCATGGCATTTTCTAGAAAGCTCTTCTCGCTCTACTACCCGAAACTAGATCGTATTAATATATAGTATATACTATAGTTTGCAACAAACATTTCTTTAAGAGCACTTGAATTTTCATGAACAATATATTTTTGGCTAAAAAAACCTTTTTAAAATACAGTTAGTTACATATTTCTTATTTTTAAATCTTTCCTCCAAAAGATGCTAACACACTGATTAATTGTCACTTGTTATTGGTAGATTTCGCAATAGTTGTTTCGCTTCACCGGTTAAATAGCTTTTTAGGTAATGAAGTTTTTGCACCTTTTGTAACGAATTATTATTGTGAGCGAGTGATAAGAAGAGGTCACGAAACGTGGTCAACTCTGAGTACTTTCCGGAGAAACTAGGAATAGAAATCTTTGGAAGCTGCACACTAATTTGCTCTTCATTGCTGCGCAACGCGTCCTGAGTTTTGGTTGGTACGCAAGTGCATTTTTCCAAGCTTGCTTTTAATTCTGTTTTGTAATCTACGTATAATTCTTCTGTTTTGGTGTAAAAGTCTTCGATAAAGTAATCTAATTCTGCATAATCAGCATCACTATCTTCATTAATAAGTTGTTCATGTACTTTGTTAAATGTTTCCCATGGTCCAGTCAAAATGCCAATTCTAGTTTCCATGTAGTTTGAAGTTAGCCTATCTTTTGGAGATTTCTTAAAATCGATTCTGGCTTTTTCCATTCCGTTGTACATATCTGAATAAGATCTTATTTTGCTTTCAATTGTTACTTTTATTTCATTGAAATTCGAAAGATTTTTTTTACAAGCCTCGTTGTAAGGAAGTGAGCAAGTTATTTTTTCTATGTCCAGTATGGGCGTAATTTTTCTAAACGTTTTTCTCTAAGTTTCAATTTATTTTCAATTTCAAACTTCTCTTTCTAATACAGATATAAATGTACTTATAGTTTTACGCCCATACAAACTTGCTTTCCTAAGTTCCGTCTGCTGCTCAACTCCGTAAAAATCGCAAACCGCTAGGTTCACTGGTTAACTTCACTCTGCATCCGGCTCCGAGTGCCATGAATAAAACAGCAACATTCAGTTGACGAAAAGGACAATTTATTTCGATAACATTTTTAACTTATGGATCTGGACAAACCAAATGGTTGCGCGATTCTCAAGGGTAGCGCCATCTATTGAGTTTTTAGAACTAATATATTTGTACTGTATACCGTGTTAAATGTGGTTGGAAACTATAAAGCTATCTGTTTACAACTAATTGATATTAGTTTAATCTACAATAATTAGGATATTTATTTAACAACTAAACAATACTATTTACTAGACTCCACAGAATTAGTAATTCTTCAATGTTTTTACACCAACAAACGCTTTTACATCAAAATACAAGAAAATGTACAAAAATTGAGATTAAACAAGTAAAAATGTTTAATCAAAGAAAAAATGTACAAAAAGGGTTATTATAGTATCAAAAACACTCGTATATAAATGAAAATAACCCCTGGGAATGAAGTGATTACCAGCATGCTAGTTCTATAAAAGTTGATTCAAAAATTGTACAAAATAAATTATTGTAAAGTGAAATATGTTTAAAAAAAGTCCCGCTGGGTTTCTTGCTGGTTCTTCCCAGGACAGAGGTTTTTTCATCCATAATATTCATCACATTCATCACGTTCATATCATTCATCTCACTCTTCTCATTCATCTTATTCATTCCATTCATCTCATTCATCTCATCATCTCATTTATTTTATTCATTTCAATCCATTTTAAATAATTTAATTTCATTAAGCATAGTGCTTAGGTTCTCCAGCGATTCTGCCATAAAGACTTTATCGTCGGCAAATCGGAGTTGAGTGATGTACTCGCCATTGACGTTAATACCGAATCCTTTTCAGTCCCGAAGCATGAAAACGTCTTCTAATGTAGCGCTGAAGAGTTCCGGATATATTACTTCACCCTGTTTTACAGGTTCTCTGGTTCAGTACTCGAATGGCCATCATAGCCCTACTGTACAAATACTCCAGCACTTCGATATACCGACTGTCAACCAGACCAGGCCAGTCCAGATTGAAAGGACTGCAGCACTGCCCAAATTTCGACGGAATCAAAGACTTTCTCATAGTCCACATATACAAGGTAAAGTGGCAGATTGTACTCATCGGTCTTTTGTACAATTTGCCAAAGGGTAACTGAAAAAGCTTGAACGAGCTTCGTGCTTCTCATACTTACACTGCATTAGGTACATAAACATTTTTCGCGACTTGAGTCGAATTTTTCCCTTTTTTGTCATAATGTATCGAATCTTTTCGTTAGACTCACTCAGACAGAATAACAATTGGAAAATGACGGGAAAGTATTTTTTACGTTTCGTTTTTATTTTTTTAATGTCATATGTGTATTGATATTAAAACCAGCCTGATACAAACAGTTTAACCAAAGAGATTTTACATCAGTTTTCTGTCTAATTTGAATAGATCAAAATGCGTAGTTTCATAGTAATTTTAAAATATTTATAGAAAAATAATAAAGCTATTTTATTTTTAATTTTATAGGTTAATGGTTAGAAAAAGATATACTTCTAACATATTAAGCTATGTATATATTAAATTAAGTAACTTAAATTGGTAAAAACAATCATAAAAATTTCCTCTGATCTCTCATCCGGACGGATATCAGGTCTCTATCAATGTCCCTCTTGGCTATTCGGACCATTGCCTGATCTGATGTACGATGCCAATCACGCTCTCATCGCGGTTGCGTTCTGTAGGTTGCCACCTTGTTTGGCACTGTAGGTCAGACGGTTGGGACAGGATGCCGGCTTTTTATGGACCCTACCCTTGGGGGCGGGTTTGCTTTTCGCCGGCAGATCTCAACGTTGTTGTTAATTTTGTCGCTGATGTGGTTCTTCAGGAACTGGAACTTTTTATTCCATCATCTTCAGTATGCCTGTCGGAGGCAGATTTATAGGCCATAACCATGCTCACTCTTTTAAAACGTGGTAGAGCCACGATGCATCTATATTATGGTTGTAGCACGAATGGGTCGGCTCGACCGGTGAAGGACTACGCTCTTATTTTATAAAAAAATATTTCTATAAGCAGGAGTGCTACCGGGCCTGGGCTGATCAACATCAACGTCTCGGACGCAAACACCAATTATCTTAAAGATAAGTATAATTCAGTCTCAAAGACCTTTAAAAGAGTCATTGCCAAGGCAAAGTCAAAGCTCATCGGCAGAATTGGCGAGAAACGTATATTCTGGTCTCTGTTACTTCTTAGACACGAACTCTGTTTCCTTAGACATGAACTTTTATTAGCCACATTTTCTTCATATTCTGACAAAAAAATCACTTATTGAGCTTTTCCGTAAAGAAATTCTCAATAGCTGCCCGGGGTCAGAAAGTTAGCGTTGTCTTACCCCCGTGCCTCAGAAAGCACGTAAAGCCGTTACTCCTGCACGTGACTCCTCTCCATTCGTGTCGGATTACCGTCCCATCGGATTATGAGAGTGAGGGAACAGAAATTGCACCTCTGTTTGCACATATACTTGGACACTGTAATCCTGTCCTGCGCTGTAAGGCTGGCCGCCGTGACCGGAATTTAGTCTGGAGCACATTATTATTAATAAAAAATAAAAAAAATACTGTAGCATATACATTTAAAGAATGAAGGTTAATTTATTGATTATCATTTTGAATCGTTATTTGCAATGAAAATAACACTGTTATAAATAACTGTTACGATTTTTGCGTACCATGTCATTGATAAAGATTATTTTTTTTAATTGGTAGCATTTATTATTTCGTAATTTCTGTAATGCACCCTATCCCATCCAACTGCAGAGAGGTGTAAGACAGGATGATGTTATATCCCCGTAACTCTTTACCGCTGCATTGGAAAACGTTTTCGAGACAATGTTATATCCCCGTAACTCTTTACCGCTGCATTGGAAAACGTTTTCGAGCCACCGGACTGGAAAGGATACGGTATTAACATAAATGGCGAGTGCATCACTCACCTTCGATTTTCCAACGGTATAGTCCTTATGGAATTATCGCTGGAGGACCTAAGCACTATGTGTCTCCTAATAGATAGGTCTTACGATGAACATGGAAAAAAAGATCTTATGTAACATCCATGTCACACCTATGCCGGTATTTGTTGGGAGCACTAAGTTTGAAGTTGTTGACGAGGGTTTATTTGGGACAATTCGACTAGGTAAGTCCAACTTCGACCGAGAGTTCAATCGACGGTTTCAACTCGGCTGAGCAGCGGTTGCGAAATTACGACACATCTTCTGGTCAATATACCTCAAAACTTGAAAACGAGATTATACAACCAGCGCGTGTTGCCAGTGATAACTTATGGATCTGAGACGTGGTCCTTCAATGCTGGCCATATGAGGACGCTCAAAGTCGCTCAGCGAGCTATGGAGAGGGCTATGCTTGGGGTTTCTCTGCGTGATAAACTTAGAAATAAGGATATCCGCAATAGAACCAGAATGATCATCAAAGCCCAACGGCTTAGTAAGCTGAAGTGGCAATGGGCTGACCATTCAGCTCGAGGAACCGACAACCGATAAAAAAGTTTCTCGAGTGATAGCGTCGTATCAGTTAGCGAAGTTTAGGGCACCCCGACTATATAGAGTGACGACCTGTAAGACATGCAGGAAGTTAATGAATACATGTGGCTCAGAACCGTGTTTTGTGGCATTCCTTGAAGGAGGCCTTGTGCAGCGGTGGACTTGTGATGGGGCTGTAATAATCCTATTATTATCACTGGATTATACAGGTATATATTGATATTACGTCCTAGATATTAGAGACCTGAGATATTTATTTATTTATTTGGTCTACCAACGACTGTTACATTACAGAAACTTAGTTACTTTGTAATAAACTATTATGAGGTAAATGCACAATCAGTTACAGGTAAACACAACGTGCTATTTTAACATATGACATAAGTACCTTTTACTTTGATATAAGGTTAATTTTAAACTAGTTATAACAGGTAAAAGATAGGTGTAATTAATCTGGGATTTTTGATGATTAACAAATGTGCACGAAACTGGTTAAGTTTAAGAGTGAAAACATCCTTGGAATCCTTAATAAACCACGTATTTAATGCGTTACACAGACGAGGAACTGGTGAATGTTTTCCTAAAACAGGTTTCCTTGGAACCCTGAAGGGGATCGTGAAATTAAAAAGTTTTAGAAGCTGAGGGCAGTCAATTTGATTATTAAAAATTTTATAAATGAATATTAGGTCCAAAAGGGTCCTTCTTTTATTCAACGAGGACATTTTAAAATGTTTGAGGTTTTCATGATAGGATAACTTTTTCTTTGAAACTTTGGAGATGTGAGATAGATGCTATAAAAAGCGTTTTTGGACCCGTTCTATTCTTAATATGTGCGTGGCATAGGCCAATCTTACACTCTAAAGCCATAAAAAGTATCAATTATTCCCAGGTCCTTAATTCTTCACTTCTTTTAATGGTTTGCCATCAATATAATATTTGGATTTAGTTTTACTATGTTTGCGTGTAAAATTAATAAAAAAGCATTTATCTATATTTAATTCCATTCCATTTGTACAGCACCAATTGTATAACCTATTTAAATCATGTTGTAAGAAGAGAACATCAACTTGGGACTTAATAGTCTGCCAATTTTCAAATCATCTGCGAATAGATAGGGCGTTGATGAAAGGAAACTATTGGGCATATCGTTGATATATACGTTAAAAGGAATTGGCCCCAAATGGGATCCTTGAGGAATTCCTGAAGTTATCTTGTGAGCTTCAGACTTATAGCCTTTACCAACAACGAAGAAACGTCTATTCGTTAGATATGAATTAATCCAGTTGGCAAAATTTCCTGTAAATCCATAGGCAGCAAGTTTGTCTATAAGAAGTAAGTGGGATATTTTGTCGAAGGCTTTGCTGAAGTCTGTGTACACAGCGTCTACTTCCTCCTGTTTATCTAGAGCTTTAGCAATTCCTTCGACAAGTGTGACTAAGTTTGTGCCTGTGGATTTCGATTTAAAAAAAGCCATGCTGATGTACGCGGACGTATTGCTGAAAATGGCTTTGTATTGAGGGGCAAACAACAGATTCAAAAACATTTGCCATATATCCCCTTATATACTCATGTATTTAGGGCCCAATAATTTTTGAGAAGAATATTTTGCTAATTTAGGAAGTACATGTAATTTTTTTACCTACGCTACGAGGCGATGAGGATATTAGTTAATATGCCATAACATCAACATTGATCAAAATAAAGTAGTATGTTTAAGAATTTTACTCTCATTTCAGAGCATTTTTTATGATTACCATTATCCTGGCACATGCAATGTTCGCATTGCACAGTTCATATATCCAAAATCCTCAGTTCATGGAGAACGTAAGTTATTTTCTGTTTTTTTTTTTTACAATATTTTGAAACGAGTGCACAGACCACCCGATGGCAAGTGGGTGATGTGGCTTGTGGCTGACTAAACTAAGATGGATTATCTTGTTTCCAATGAAAAGGGTCTCCACACTCACCATACAATATAGCAGTATTAAGCAGCTATTTCACGCTGGTATTGTGTTTATTATGAGAGCGTGGTTCTTCTCCAGTTGAGCCGACCCATTCGTATTTCATAGCAGTACAGCTCCACAATATAGTTGCATAATGCCATGCCACTACGTACAGTATTATCAAATTATGCTTATAAACTTTATACTGGTTTCTTATATTCACATAAACGTTTAATATAAACACTATATTAAGAAATAATTATAAATTAGGCAATTTTTTGTCTTTAGCTTTAGTAACCACATATAAATGGATTTGAGCTGAATAGACTACTTTGAGAAGGGAAAAAAACTGGAATGTGCCACTCTGCTCTTGGGCGGACAAAGGTCTTAGAATTTTTTGTAATTTATTTGATATATTGATTCCTTTGCGATGTTTTCTTGATCGACAAGTGGTAATTTAGGACCTTAAATTGCGTTCTACAAAATCAGCTGCGCCAGCACCTGAACAGTTGTTTACGAATCATGAGTTAAAGAACGAGCGCAAGGTACTTGGATTACTGTGGCTCAAAATGTTTATATTACTATTTATTATTATTATCTTCAATAGTTGGAACTTTTTGTAGTATAATATAGCCGTAAAAGGTAAAAACTGACGTCGCAGAACTTTCGTCTGGAAGCTTTTACTATTCTCCTATCCCTATTGGGTGCGCGAAAAGAGAGCAAAGGAATGGCGGTGCGAACAATCAAGTGAACTATACTATGGTTAAAAAAGGAACCAATACAAAATGGCGGACGTGGCATTTACCTAGAGAAAGCGGCGAGCGACCTCTCTCTTGCCGGCTATGCAGGCACGGTGAAAATTACGAACTGCCATGACGATGGCAGCGCGCGTTTTTTTATGGCTTCCGCCATCTCCCCTTCCTACCTGGTGGAGCGCGCCTCATTGGAGGACCAAAGTTGCGTCCACCAGTATTTAGCTCCCCCCTTCTAGGCAGCCCGTGCGGGGAAGGAACGGAAGAGAGGGGAATTATGTCAGCCAACTCAACTAACAAATACATCAACAAATACAAAATGCAAGGGTGTGCGCTGGTGTTACCACCTATTATTGTACTAATTTGAAGTGAAAAACAAATCTACAGTCCACCTAATGGTAAGTGGCTACTGCAGCTCATAGACATTTGCAAAGAAAGAAGACTACAAATGCATTATCACTTCTGAGGACTATGATTGAATGCCTCAAAACCTGTAGTGATACTGGCTCTCTTATCCTTCAGACTGAAATACAGCGATGCAGGCACGGTATCTGGCAACTCCTTGATCGAAGGGAGTCCCACCACCAGCAAATATTAACTGAAAATTCATTACACGTTGTTTTAGATGATAATACACGTAGTGATTTATAAAAATTACAATTTTATTAACGAACAGGCAAGTCGACTCCCGCTAAGCACGCTGTTTCAAAACGGATACGTAATCATACAGACGTTCATCATGCTGTCCAGTTTTCTCCTCGCCTACAACCTGTTGATCAACAGTGAAAAAGACCCAAAGAAGGGCCTTACCCTTCGCTCACTACCACGTGTCATCTTTAATCGTATAGCAAGGTCAGTTACTATAGACAAACCGCTTATTTGGCGGATCGCACGCGCGGTGTAGAGGTAGGCAACGGTGGGAAAGACGTAGTTAATTAACGCAAGATAGATCCCGCGATAATGTTCCGTGGATGCAATACGAAACAATACAAATTTATCTTTATCTCTCTATGTAATTTTTTTAGATTAAGCAACTGTGGGCTGAAATATAATATGGGTTTGCAACATAATATTTATTTTATATATAATAGTTAATTTATTTATTGTATATAATAATGATAATCTTAAAAAAATATTATTCTTCCTCGCTACTATCATTCTTACTTGAATTATCTTCACTGAATTGTCTTGATGAATCAGCACTGTCTTGTAAATTATCATTTGATCATGTGTTGACAATATTTGTTTTGAATTTTCTGGATATGGCTATCACAGTTTTCTCATTTTTATACAGAGAATCCAGGGAATAATTGCTCCAGTGCAATTTTTTTGGTATCCAAATTGCTATCAAATTCATTTCTTGCAAGTTTTCTCTTGATAACTTCCCATACCAACTTAATCGAGTTCAGATCTGGGTGGTATGGTGGAAGTCGTAAGACTTCGTGACCCACAGCCTTCAACACTTCCTCAATTTTATAAACATTTTCAGATCTGTGTTGCTTGATCAATGTGAATAAGTTATATTTCTTTAAGGAAATACTAATGTCCACGTTATGTCATTGTAACCAGGACTGCATGTCGGCTTTTGTTGCCAAACATCGTGGGCTCTCTATCCACTTATACAGTGATAAGCGGCGTTATCCATGATAATCACGGAATGTGGTGATGAATTTGGCAATAATTTTTCTTTTGTTTGTTCTTGTTTCGGATAAAGTTACCATCTTTAATAATTTGACTTACAGACAATGAGAGTCTTGTACGCTTGCCTGCTAATTTTCTAACCAATAATCTGAAGGTGATTTATCTTGGCATTGAACGTGGTACTTTAAGCTCGTGTGCGTTTTGTTCCAGGCGTCCGTAACATATATAATCAATTACCAAACATGAAAAATGTTTCCTGCCACCCGTCCCCACCTGACTGCCCTGTAACGCCCGTACGTCTCTCTCCCTCCCGCAAACAGCTTAACCCGCGGGCGACCCGCCAATTAAGTGGTATAAATATAATTGGCAATATTTTTATATCTTACTATAATATTACAAATGTAATGTTTTTTAAAGCAATTTTCATACACTTAAGAACGTCTAAATAATGAAATTTCGCCTATTTAGTTGTACTTAACAACTAGTGACAAAAATAATTTAATGACAATGACCTAGTTTTCTTACTAAAATTATCACAGAATGCGCTTAGATCACAGCTTATGATTAATACATGGATTTTTGGATGGATGGATGGCTTTAGATTTGTTCAACTCTTAATTATTATTTATATTATCATTACTACTACAAATATGAGTTACAGGAGTTCATACCGATCAGCAATTACTGTGCGGTCGGTATGTAATTTCAAATGAAGCAGGATAAACTTTCCAGTTATGCAAGTTGAAAAGGTCCAGCCGAGGCCTTAAACTGTTGATGTTGTGTGATAAATAATTAAAAAGTAAAAAAGGCAAGTTAAGCCGTATATACGTTCCATATTTATCTTAAATTATTTTATTCCAACATATAAGTATATAGGTTTCCTTGCGAGGTTTACCTACACTGCCAAGAACGTTGTTATACAGCATATACAATTGAAATATTAACAAATTCGTTGTCGGCGGCAGCAATCGAAACTAGTTTCTTCAGGTACTACAAATGTATGGCGAGTCATGAAGAGTTTCCACAAGCTACCATGGTTCGGATATAAATTATGGATGTCCTAATGAAAGAGATCCGACAATAGTAAATACCTATGGCAGAAAATTGTAAATTTAAACTCGCCATTCGAGATCTGCCATTATATTTCCTTCTTAATCCTTACACGTTGATATATATATATATATATATATACATATATATATATATATATATATATATATAATTCCTGGCGCCACATGAGCGACGGCCCTCTATGGATACCATTGGTGGAGGGGGAGTGTGCACACTGCAGGGACAAGTGGTGGGCGCATTTCCTGTATATCAACAACTTCCTTGAACCGAACGAAAAGTGCCTGATGCATACATGGTAAATTATTTAGCACTGCTATCTTTTTTTTTAATTCTCAAAAATAACTAGTTTCACTCAAAGTGTTTACGCAAATATAAGGAATCAATATAATGTTTATAAGTATAACTTTGATAATACTGGACGTGGTCGAGATATACTGTAGGTATATTATCGATGTAACCCGAATGGGACGTCTCTATTGGGAAAGAACTACGCCCTCACAATAAACACAATACCACCATGAAATATCCGCTTAATACTGCTGTATTTCATATGGTGAGTGCAGAAAACCGGAGAACCAATTTTATGGAAACGAGTCAATCCATCTTCAATCTTCACAAGTCAGTCCTCAGCCTCAGGCCACATCACCCACTTACCATCAGATAGACTGTGCGCTCTTTTGTTACTCTTATTTTATAAAAAAAAGGAATTTTAGTTAGTGCTGAATTATTCCATCATAACATAATTACTAAACATTATTTTTTTAGTTAAATCTATTCGTACAGGCTAGATACGTGTTTTCTAACATAAAACTCGTTTAAAAAATAAAATATCAATATTAAAAATCTTTTATGTTTTAAATAAATCGAATAAATTGGAAATCGCACTAAACAATCTAATATAATATGTATTACTTGTGAGGTATATCGTGTTTTCATGCGATGGCCTAAGAGTGAGTTGCAAGACTTGGTTTTTTTTACATGTTATGTTTTGATGGCATGTCTATTATTGTTTACCAATACAAATTGTTGTTATTAGAAAGTTACTAATTAGAAAATTATACCTACACACATCATTAACAATTTAATTTTTTTAAATTTATTTATTTGTATTTTTATAGGTAGGAAAGATGACCCTATATTAAATTAAACAAATTGGTTGACCCTGCAGGCCATCCCTGGCACTTCTGATTTAAATGCATTTCAATTATAACCTGATTGTAAATATCGAATTAGTTTAAAAAAAATCAATTTTAAAAAAAATTTAAATCGGTCTGTAAAGCCGCTTAAAAGTTATTTCAAATAAAAACAGTTTTTCAAAATTTTTAGTTTTGAGATTTCTCAAAATATACTGGTCCGAATTAGTTAAAATTTATAGGAAACCTAAGTTCGATGAAACACTGTGGAAATCCGGTTTTCTTGGAAACCTTTCTTTTGGAAATTCATTTCAACTTTTAATGTTCACACACACACGCACGCACGCACGTACGCGCGCACACACGCACCCACACACATCACACACACACACACACACACACACACACACACACACACACACACACACACACACACACACACACACACAAACACACGAACACACACACACACACACACACACACACACACACACACACACACACACACACACGTATTTCAACATCAAACTGTGGTCATATAATAAACTATTATACATAATATTTTTTTAAACTTTTTTTTTAATTAAAAAAAGAATATTAACAATGCTATAATCGTTATTAAAAGCCCCTTTAAACACTCGTGGTAAGCTTAAATTCGTTGTGTTACGGGTGTTTCATGCCAGTAGCCGAATGGCGGATTCGAACCCACGACCTTTTTGAGTGGTCGCATGCCATAGGCCACGTCGCTTGATTATTAATATATTTTTTAATAAATTTAGTCCATACTATTTTTCTGTGTTAAATTAATTCTAATTTATTTATTTAAATTGTATGAAATCAAAATATTAACATAAGAAAATCTAGTCTTAAGGTTAAGTTACCGTATTAACAATTAAAATGGTCGCATTGATCTAATGATTCAATCTAGGTTTCTCGCGACGGACATGCAACTTTATGTATTGGCGGGCTTTCTGACTCTCACCTTGGGCCGGTCACCGCGCAGAGCTGTCAAGGTCCTAAGCTGCCTTTTTGTTTGCGCAGTCGTTGCCAATTTTGCTATCGCCTACAACTGGAACTTGAAACCAGTGCTCTTTCTCAGTTATCCCAAGTAAGTACTTACACAGGAAACCTTTTATGACCTAAGTGTATATCTCGTAAACATTATATTACAGAATTGTCAAGCCGCTATAAATAATATTGTTGCGCGCCACAGTTGATGGCACTAGAGCCATCTATCATCGAACAGAGGATCTAAGCTTTCTAGAAAGCCCCACAATCGAACTTTCTGCGCCTGGTCGGTCGGGGCCCGAATTTGTTGGAATGATCTGGATGTTTCGGTGGGAGAGCCCTATTTAAAGCCGTTGAAAGCCGCGATCGTGCCAGTATTGAATTTGGCGATACAAGCGAAGCTTCGGTGCGAAATAAAGTGAATTAGTCTGATTAATTATTAGTGTCTTTTAAGTTTTAATTGGTGTTCGGTAATTAAAGTGTTAATTTTGGTAATTCAATCGGCAGTTTTTATTTTCACGAACCCTAAGCTCGTAACAATATTTATTTTTAATTATTCGAATAAATGAGGCTGGTTATTATTCGATTATGGCTTTATTCTTTTAGTTTCTACCCGGTGCTAGTTTTTTTTAACTAGCAATCCGCTTCGAATTATAGTATTTAGAAGTTAAAAACCCGTGTAAATTCGATAAAATACGTTTTGCTCCGACATAGTTCGTAGCATTATCTGAGACCCACTCCCTAATTCAGCGAATCTCCAGTGTGCATAAAGCAACCTTTAGAAATAACGGCCTAGGACGAACTCGATAGATAACAAGAGATACATCTATGCTCCGATTGCAAATTAAGTTGCGAGACGAAAGAATTCAGTAGTTCTGTTTCAAAGTAGTTGTGTTCAAAATAGACATCAACAATTCAGGGCCAACATGACAGTTCAATTTGTGGTGATAACTGACTAACAAATACAAAATATGATCCTTACGCGGTAAAACAATAGGGTGTCGTCGAGCGAAACTTAAATGCGAGTTAGATAAACGACAACCCACTCTAATAATCCCATTCTGTAAAAATGGTTTTAGGCGTTAAAAAGCGCGACTATAAACCTTGCCTTATTGCAACCTTGCAATCTCACCGGCAAAGTGTAAACGCTGAAGTTCACGAAATATTAGCAACTAGCTGGTGCCTGCGACTTCGTCTACACAGGATTAGTATTTAGAGTAGCTTATATCAGCGTAGCGTAGAAAAGGACTAACATTATGACATTAAAATTATCACATAAATGATTTTTGGGTCCAGTAAACCCCACCTAGTCTATTTTGAAAATGTATACGCTTTTACAACAAAATCCCAGAAAATATACAAAATTTGTCATACACAAAGTTCAAAAATGTTATTAAACTAAATTTGTATAAAAAGGGTTATTATAATATTAAGGAATTTATAGATGATAATAACCCCTGGGAAGGGTGATCGCTACCAAGCTATTTCTAATTTGTCTTGTGTTGTTGATTGTAAACATGATTGTAAGCTATTATTAAAAAAAATAGTACCGCTGGGTTTCTTGCTGGTTCTTCCCAGGACAGAGGTTTTTTTTGCGAACCAGTGGTAAATTAAAAAAAGTGACTTTCAACAAGTATTTTTATAATCTACATTGAATAAAAAAGTCTTTCTATTTCTATTTCCTCATCCGCTGTGCGTCGGACCGCCGACCCCGCCCCCGCACCGTTCGCCCGCCACCGATCTGAGCGCAACGTTTCTATTTCATACAAAATGTTTCCTGAACGGATTCCAAATGAATGTTATTTGTATGATTACAAATATTTTGCATACGAAAAACAACGTGTCTCTTTTTGCGCAAGGGGCTTTAAGTCGCATTTCATTTGCATTTACTGTTATTTTGCAGTACAGTAATTAATATCAAACCAAAAATAAAATGGAGTAGCGGTGGAGAACAGAAAATTAAACGGCATATTTATTATGTACGAGCAGATAACTATGACCCGGCGCTAAATCTATTCCAGACAACAATAAATCAGGTATTTAGTAAGTGATATGTTACTGTCCTACTAAATAATATTAAATCAAAAGATAAAACTATTGCATTTTGGCGATATAATGTAACAATAGAGCATCCAGTACCACCAGAGGTGCGAAGTGAAACTAAAATCTACTTAGGGACTTAGGCGTGACTCAACCAAAGTATATTGTCCAAATTTCAGTTCAGCAATTCGTCTTGATTGGGCCGTAGTTTGCCTGTTCGAATCCGGATCGACTGGACCAAAAGTAATAGTTGCACGAATGGTGAAATGCATTGCGGAGCGAAGGATCAAGTGGACTGTATTAGCGTGGTTCATAAGGAACCAAAACAAAATAGCAGATGTAGCACATGGCGGACTTTGGAAAATATACCTGCCATAAAATTAATTTAATGCATTAGCCGGTACGACGGAATATGAGCTGCTGTGGAAAAAGGAACAACAAATTAAAAACAGCTCCAAATTTAGGGATGTTCACTTACATGGGGAATCAGCCTTGCGGACACTGAAATAAAACAAAATGAAAAGAACTTTGCTTTCTTTGAATTCAACTTTTTGGAACGAACGAGTTCCTTATCGCACGTTGCGTAAGGGGGCTAGACGGAAAAAATTTAGACCAAAAGTTGTAACGACACTTTTTGCTATAGTTGTAAGCCGTGCGGCGTGCGCGTGTTTCTCTCTCTCTCTCTCTCTCTCTCTCTCTCTCTCATAGAAAGTAAGCCAGTTATTTTCGTTTCATCTTTCTATTTCGCATTGAACAGTGTGGTGTCGCAACCATTATTTTTGTTGAGTTTATACAGGTTTTTTGTACATAATAAATAATAAAAAATAATAACAATAATGACTCCTGACAGTGTTTCTGCACACGTTTCGGATATTGCTGATGGAGTTAGGTAATTAGAGATTTTATACAGACAATAATAAATGCTTATGTATTTTTACCAAGTCATATGCGTTATAATCTCTCCATTATTATGTGTTTAGCAATTGTACGCGTCATAACTTTAATAAATTTAAAAGCAAATTATATTTTAATATTACAATATCAATGCGTATGTATTTAGCAAGCCGTGCGTGTTATAACCTATACGCTGTTGTGTTTACGAAGTCGAGATATATATATATATATATATATATATATATATATATATATATATATATATATATATATATATATATAATTATATAATGTTGTGTGTGTCCTTTATACACACACACGTGTAAGTGTGTGTATAAAGGAACTTCGTTCCATCCGGGTGTCCCTTGACACCTCTCAAGTTTTTATTCTACATTATGAGTACAGGTTAATTCAGGATGACATCAAAAAATGACAGCGTATTTATTATTCGGTGTGAGCATACTAGAAAATCTCCCTATGTTACCTCATTTGATACGGGTGGCGAGAGTCGGTTCTAATTAATACGGTTATATTGTCAACATTTTAATGTTTGTTTGAGCTAAAGTCGTTTCATGTTATCTGATATGTTTCAGATAAATTTGTGTATTCAAGTTCAACATTTTCGACCACAGACCATTATCAGAAATCTGTGTTTTAGATGGTTCTGGCTTCTTTTTTTACTTGCATTATACAAGTCATTCTTGGTCATCATCATCCAACATTGTCATTGTCATCATCTTTACAACGCTTCATAAGACATGTCTGAGTTTATCACACAGAGAAACCCCGAGCATAGTCCTCTCCATAGCTCGCTGAGTGACCTTGAGCTACCTCATACGGCTCTTTTTTTAGACATGAGAAAGCGAGATATTAATTAAAACACTAATACAGTGTTATGTAGTCAATAATTAATCACAATACGTACTACTCGCATGTACAATAAATCTGTGATTTGTTTTACAGACAAATTCCCATCTGTTTAGACTGTAGATTAACTTATTCTTTGAATAATACGGAGTTTAAACAAAATAACGATATAAATACATACTTCTGCAATATTACAATTCCAAAAAACTTTATTTAGATCAACAACACCCAAGTAAGTAGTCCGCAAGAGCACACCTGGCGACTATCGGCATCGAAAATTCAGTAAAAGTGGCGATTTAGATGAACTTTTAAAGTCATGGATTTGACTGTTTAACTCATCACGCGTCAACTTTAAATCAGAACTGACAATAGTTGCTTTTTCTAGATTGCGTATTTTTATTTTCTCTTTAGAATTTTCGACAAAACTTAATAACGTAAAAAATGGATTTTGCAGAGTTGCACTCTATAACTCGTACGAATTAACTTGAGACCTGGGCCGATGACGTAATTGTCAATGTACGGTGTGCAAAATAATGCGTCGTAATATTTTTTTATTTGAAATTTTTGAGATTTGCATGAGATTATTAATAAAAACAAAATAAAATTTTCTGGCAAGGGGTGAAGTAATAAGTGATATACTGTTGCCATTTTTATATATTTTAAATATTTATTTTTTATAATATATATAATATTATTTTTAGTTAACGCGTCAAGGAAGGACAAAGAAATAAACATACACACTTTCTCATTTATAATATTATTAATTTATTTATTATACACTTTATTGCACTATAAAAAGTGTTACAGATTCGTACACAATAAAAATACAAAGCATAACAGGCGACCTTATTGCTAAAAAGCAATCTCTCCCAGGCAACCTTAGGGTGAAAGTGAATCAATCTTGGATAAGCGGAACAGCACAAACTATGTAAAATCAAGGAATAGAAGTAAGGAATATTAATAAGGATTTTGTAATGTTGGGGTTCCTAATGGGTGTTATTCAAGGAAACGACTACATTAGTTACGTACTATTTAATGAATGCGCTGGTAATAATCTAAAATAATGCATATAAGGTATAGTGCAAACTCAGCATACATACGGTTATAAAGTAGCGTACTTACTTACTAAACTAAAGGAGCATACATATTATTCTTACACTTCACCTCCCGAGGACATAGAAAAAAAAAGAATTAGGTACATTCTTTTTTTTTACATAATTTTTACTAGATATTTACTTTTTTTTTATAGAAGAGGGGGGCAAACGAGCATGTGGCTCACCTGATGTTAAGTGACTACCGCCGC